GGGGGGGGGGAGGACACAAACATTAATTTCCAGACTAGTGTCCCACTGACGTTTCGCAATCAACCAGACCTGCTTGTTTCTGTCAGAACATGCAAGCTCGCAGCAGGTTAGTGAAGTGGAGCAAACTGGAAAAATACACAATAGCCGTGAGGAATTTAAGATCTGGGAGGTAATTTGGACAATTTCTTGTTTACTTGATTGGCCTGTTCAGTACCGTCGATTCCTCCTGTACATTTCTCTCTCTTTTTTTTCTTCTCCTTTTTCAATGCAGGTTTTTAATTTAATCACTGAGAGAATAATTTACACACTCACAGATGGCAGCAACTTCCTGGATGGTGACTGCAGAAACTTAATATGGACATGAGGTAATGTAACAAGTGGATAAACTTGCCTATGAAAAAACAAAAGCCTGACCACAACATAGAGTGTAAACTCAGGACAGTGGTGGGAAGGTCCTGGGTTCAAGGTCCAGTTTGAGGCCTTTCTGTGTTGAGTTTGTTTCCCCCACAGCCTAGAAACATGCTCGGTGTTAGGTTTACTGGTGATTCTAACCATCTATAGATCTGGACGGTTGTATGTGTATGTCCTGAAACAGATTTGCAACCCGTCCAGGGTGTACCATCGACTCCAGCCCCACTGCAACCCTTGAATGGATAACCAGAGGAAAATAGATGCATGGCTGAAGTGAAAATGAGCGTTAAAGCAACAATGTCCACTGCAGCAGCTACCTGTACTGCATTTTTCCTGGTGAACTGTGCTGTCCCTCTATTCTCTGCTCTGGCCCACTCGTCAACCAGTCAGCATTCAACCAACACGCAGCATCATCCACATCAAGCAAGTTGCAGTTGGGTTTTTGGATAACTGCCTGTTTGCAATGGTTGAAAACTGCTCTTAATAGTCGAATACTGCAACACTGCAAACTGACTACTTCAGTACCATAAACTAAGCTTTGGGAAGTGGCTGTAATCTTTGCCAGATCAAGCATGTTCATCCATGTGCTGTTCTAACCCAGGAGGAAAAAAGGAAGCAGCCGAAGGTAACGTTACCCTTCAGCTTTATTGATATCATTACGGAACCAGCTAGCAGCTACAACTAATAAAAGATCACGTTAGTGTTATGAGTCCTGTCTGTAATGTTATAATAGAAGATGTTAATTTAACAAAAATTATTTCTCTAAATAAACTTTCTAAAACTGCATCAACCAGCAGTCTAAATTACCAACGTGAAGTCTGTTTGATCAGGAATAAAAATATTAAGCCCAGTCACCGAACACAGGACAACCTGCTTTGTTTTTTGAATACCACACACACACACACACACACACACACAC